AGGTCGCATCCCAGGAGAGGGATAGGGCACTCAGGCATGTACAAGAAATCGTGTTTGGTAACATGTCCACCAAGCTAGCAGGACCTGCTTTGACAGAATTTCTTTTCAGTGATGTATCCTTGGGTTTGGTTTTGGCATTTATACCCCTCTTCAACCTACTCAGAGTCTTCTAAGTATCCAACCTTATTTTGAGGGCTTGAGTTCAAGTGCCACTCAGTGATCAGGAAAACAGAATCATAGCAATATTGATGACACAAAGACAACCCAGATACAGTAAAACCAATTGAAAACAACAACTATGCCACCATTAACAATAGAAATCAGCTATAATAGTAGTCAAAGACTTAAGAATCAATGAAAGGTGCCAGGGATACAGCTCAGCAGCACAGCACCTGCCTGGCAAGTGTGAGGTCATGAGTTCTACTCCTGGTACCAAAAAAAAAAAAAAAAAAAGAGAGAGAGAGAGAGCTATGACTATATCACCCTTAAAAATAGAATAGTCTGAGCTCACCACTGCCTACGCTTCTCAGAGAGCCTGTTACTAAACCAACCCCTTTCTGCAACTGTCTTTGGCCATTCTTCATTCTGTCACTGCGGTAAGTTGACCCCAGAAACCCTCAAGTGTGGTTGTTCTGTGATTTCTGATTCCTGGGGTAGTTGGGTCTTAAACAATGATGTCCTTCTCAAAAGGAGATTAACCCAGTACATCATTCCCAAATATCGGGCACTGCAGTGGATTTTTTTTCTCCAATGCTAACCTGCCATGTATCATGTATTTGCAGCTTCCAATAATCATGGGCATTTCTTGGACTATTACTGCTGGTCCATTTTTTATCACTGGAGCTACCAACCCTCTCTGGGATGACCATGTATTTGTGGAGACAAAGACCCCCTCCCCAGGAGCTGGGGTTAGCATTTCAGACCATTTCATTTGTGCCGGATTCAATTTTTCCATTTTCTCTGTGATTTCTAGTTTTCCTGCCATCTCTTTCTTGATCTCCAGAGCTCTTCTTCTCTTTCTCTTTGTTGAGTTATTGTTTTGCAGGTGTCACGATGACAGGTCCTGGAGAGGCCACACTTTCCAGGTACCTTTTACTCCATCTTCATTCTTCAAAGGGATGGAAGTCTCTGACCAAGCAGTTGTACAACCTGGTATGAGTTCAAGTCATGCCTATAACCTGTGTCTCTGGTTGAGACATGATTTTTAGGAGTAGCAATAACATTCCAGCCCCACCTCCGAGCATTACCAGGGTCACAGTCCAGAGATAAAGACCCCAGCTGGAGGAGCACATCTGGAAGCTGGGCTTTGCTGGCTGTGAAGGAGGAAAGGAGTAAGACTGAGAGGGGCCCATTCAGTCCCTCACTGTCTGGGTGACAGTGTCCAGGCAGGGGAGGGCACAGGCGGGGACCCTGGGTAGAGTCCTTGCTCCAATATTTTATAGGCCAGTTTTTCTGGGCTCAGCCTTCCCATTTGGAAGGTGGGATGTCAGAGGGGGCCATACAGAAGGACAGAGGGTGGCTCCATAGAGATGGACCACCCAAATTGCTAAAGTGTGGAAGCAACCCAAATGTCCATCCACCGAGGATTGGATAAGAAAATTGTGGTACTTTTATACAATGGAATATTACTCAGCTGTAAAGAAAGATAAACTCGGGGCTTTTATAGGTAAATGGTCACAACTAGAGACCATACTCATAAGTGAAATAAATCAAACATACATGTGCAAGCACCATATTGTTTCACTAGTGTAAAACCTGAAAGAGTTAATTTAAACTAAGAGATATGATAGACATTGTGAATTGATAGGAAAGCACTCAAAGGTAAAGGACAACTGGGATGTGGGAAAAGAGAAGGGAAAGAAGGAGAAAGTTTGTATGTATGTATATGCAGGATAGTTAACATGGTTGTTCTACTGTCTTCTACTTCCTTGCTGAAAGAAACTGTCAATGAGTCAGTCCTTGGTTGATCAGCATTGCATGTCTATATCTGTTTTCACGAGAAGCCACTTGGAAGATATCAATATGTAATACAACAAGCATTGTTAATTCCCTACCACTTTGTTTGTAACTCCGTACTGTCTGTACTGTTCTTTTGCTATTTTGTAAAATGTTGTCTGTTAATGTTTTCCTCCTTTTATTTTTAAAATTAAAACAAAAGATATGGACCACCCAAAAAAATGGAGGTCAAGGATGAGGCTGGCAGTTACTACTTCAGCTGCTGAGTCAGTACTGTCCTCTGTGCAAAACCTTATAGGTAAGGTGCTTCTACTGTGTGCTGGGTACTCTGATAAAGCCTGCTTCTGGAGCGCCACCTGCCGTCTCAAGCATGCCTGCTGTGGCCCAGGTACTTGAGATAAAATTTGCTTGCACTGTGACACATACTCACACGCATCACAGGTTCAAGGCCTCCCACCGCCCTCTCTCCAGTTTTCTCAGCCAGAACTCTGGGACTCAGGTGGAGAGACTGGCTCATGGCATCCGCAGGAGAGAAGCTGTGTGTTTTTCGGAAGAGCAGACTGAGACTCAGAGGGGGCAAGCTCCTAGCCCGAGTCGCGGAGCTCAAAGGGACCCAGATCTGTCAGACCCACAAGGCCAAAGTCTTCCTGCTGCCGTGATGCCTCGTTCCCACTGGAGATAACGCCTCATTGATCTAGGGACATGTACAGCGGTGGAATACCAGGTAATGTGGCAGGTGTACAGAGGAATATCTTGAAGCCCTTTTATCGCCATGTAGCTCCTTGACCCAAACCCAAAATGCTCCACCTAACAGACTGAGGGCTACTTCCTGACTTTTTCTAGATCTTCTCCAGAATTGCCCTCTGGGGTGTCCCAGGTGAAGGATGGCTTGACATATCAGCCATAGTCAGGCTGCTGAAAAGGAAGGCTGAGGTGACACAGTTCTTCCAACATTCTTAGGCTATAAGGGAGGCCCCAGACCTCCACCTGCCTCCTCCACTATTACTCCAGCCCAATCAGGGAGGGGATCCTGGTGGCTGGTGCAAGAGCTGTCGGTAAAGATGGTGTTTACCCTGATCCCCACCTTCACTCCTGGGACAGACGGTACTCGAAGGGAGGTCCATCCATGTCAGGGTTAAGGGCAAGGGTAGAGTTTGATAAACGGGTGGCGTCCTGGAGCCATCGCAGTGGCTGAAGGTGCTGAGCTCACTGCAGCCTTATGATGTGTGGGGGATAGTCAGGCCCCTAAAGCAACGTGTTAGCCATCACCGTCATTTGCCTGCATAGTCTCTAACCCTCTGTTAGAGCCCTTTAAGCATATTAAGATCCTCCTTCTATTTTATGGATGAGGGATAAGTGTCAAAGATACTTAAGTGACTCACCCAATGTCACACGGCTGGTGAAGGCAGGCAGCCTAGCTTCACATCATGTGGCATTAGTGATTAAGCTGCACTCCTTCTTGTCCTTAAGCGGGCATTTGAGGAGTACCCACCTCACAAAATTGCAACAAGTACAATGCATAAAATAGTAAAGGAGCTCCATGAATGCTTTTTATTATTATTTTGTTGAATAGTCATCCAACAACCCTAGTGACCACCTCCGTGAGCCCTTTTTGCTGAAAAGGAACTGGCGATTCAGAGAAGTGAAGTAACTTCCCCCAGCACCACAGAAAATGAGATAAATATGACAGTGCACCTGATAACAAAGCCTGCCAGGCAGGGAAAAGTTACATGTCCAGGGGAAAGAAATGTGCAACTTGGAGCTGTAAGACTCAGTTACTTTAAGGGTGGTCGGAGATCCACACCGTCATTATCACCTGAGAGTTTACATGAAATGCAGATGCTCACACCTCCAGCCAGAAATCCCAACTCAGAATTTCATCCCAGTACACCTGTGAGTGATGCATGGATGATAGTCCATCAAGTTTAGGAAGCCTTGATTTAAGATCTCTAGGTTTCAGTTTTGCAAGGATGCAGGGCTGGGAGCCCTCAACTTCACAGATCCTCAGGACTTTTTTTTAGTTAATAAAAGGAAGACACAGCTACACCTCCCAGACCTTGCACGCAGCTGTGTGTTTGCTGCATAAATACTGTGTACTGGGCACTGCTGTGAGTACGGGGGGTCGCCAGTAAGCACTCCAGTGGCAAAAGGTTCACATCTGGTGGAGAGTTGGATAAAAAAATAAATCAGTGACAATTGATGTGCCTGGAGGGAGGGCCCAGGGTTCAGGGAAAGCTTCCAGGATAAGTTGGCCTTTGGGCAGGGACATAAAAGAGGAAGAAGAGCCTTCAAGGGCAACCGAGCTACACAGAAAGGCAAGAGGGTTCTTGCTCCTTTGACACTGTGCTGAGATCACCAGTGAGTGGATAATACCATTTATCCTTGGGAAGGTGAGTGTCGGAAAAAAAATCAGGCAACATATTGGACCTTTGAGCAGATGCTGAATTTTCACTAGCCGTGACCAAGCCCCAGCCAGACTCTGAAGCCACGGTAAAGGCAGGCTCCTAATTCCTGGATCAGGTGGAAGCAGGGGAAACCAAGGTGGAAGGGGGAATCCTTAAGAGAAAGTTCCCTGTTCCAGGAATTTTTTGTCTGAGGAGATGGGAAACTCCCCAGTGGTTTTGTATAAACCTGGCTTATGCGCTGTCCTGTAGGGATGAGAAGTAAGTTCAGGAGCAGGAAGACTGATGTTTTTTGCCAGGGGCCTTTAACCTCTACTCCAGGTCATGAGAGTAGCAGCTGCACCCAGCTAGCAGTGTGTGCTACTATCTGGGTGACCAATTTTGGCTGCTGCCCATCTGTTATGGTTGATACATTGGGTCAACTTGGGGAGTCTAGCGGTTTGGCTAAGTGACTCAGCAGGAAGCCAGGGTGCTTACTTTGTATACATCCTGAGCCTGTGGAAGAGGAAGGCATGGAGATTATGTGAGAGCTACACGCCCCTTAGGTGGGGGTAGCCTGTTTACAATGTAAGGCAGGGAAAGAAGCTGCCTGGTGCAATTCCCCCCTTTTGCTCTTGTTGCTTTGCTATCTTCTGCCTCCGAGCCAGCCAAGTATGGACTGAACCTCCACAAACTGTAAGCTAAATAAACCTTTCCTTCCTTCATTTTGGGTGTTGGATATTTTGTCTCAGCAAAGAGAGAAAAGTAACCAAGACACCATCTATTTGTGAGCTTGTTTTGGCACCTGAGAAATGGGCCTCACAAAGATTCATAGAAATTTGCAAGCATTCCATCAAACAAAGGGAGAGAATACAGTATATGTGAAATCCCTTCTGTGCATTTTATAATACAACAATATGCGTGTATGCGTTTGTACATGAATTTTTAAAAAACTCCTTAAGAATCAACGCATCGTGTTAAATTAAGGAGGCAGAATGGAAGGAAGAGCCTCTTTAATTTTTTATATATCTCTGGGCGTTTTTTCACTGTGAGCTGCTGTAACCAGAAGGACTATAACACAGTTTTGAAAAGAAACAAGGATTCGGCGTAGTGGAGGAAGGGGCACGCAGCTGATGCATGAAAGGCAGCCATTTTTCTTTCTTTCACCCTGGAGACTTCCCAGGCATCCGCCTGAGCGCTCTCTGGAGCAGGTGCGCTGGCTGCCCACTGCCTGGAGGTTCACCTTGCCCTTCCTTAGGCGTCAGGAAAGCAACAAACTGGTTCAATTTCAAACTCTGTTACTCACTGGCTGTGTGGCTTTGGGCAAGTCACTTGCCCTTTCTGAGCCTCATGTCTTCCTTTGTAAAAAGGAGAGACAGGGTTATACTCTCCCCTAGTTCCCTCCTCGAGAAACCCCTTGGCCTGGTAATAGGAGCTGGGTGAACAGGACACACACGTTCCCTGCCGTCACTGCGCTCACACCTGACTAGAGCAGCTGGCAGATAATAAGGCCCAGTCAGATGAAGGAGGTAATAGGAGGAATAAAGAGAATGTGACATTCTGGAGGGTGAGGGGGATGTTGTGGACACAGTGACCAGCGAGGCCCCTCCCAAGAGGTGATCTTTGAGCAGAAACCCGAATGACATGATGAGTGGGCTGTGTATATAAAGCATCCCCTCAGCCATGTCAGGGGTATGAAGACCCAGCCCCAGAAGGAGCAGCTGCATGACCTGAACCATCTGTTGGTCCTTGCTTTGCTTCCTTCCTCAGTTATGCTGAGGGGAACGGGGATGTGAAGCAATTTCCCTCTAGGTCTGAGGGAAAGCAGAACCAGCCACACCGCAGACTCACAACAGTGATGATATCTGCCCACACGCGAGGGTCCCCACAGCAAAGATCATGGAGCTGTCAGTCCCAGAAGCCATAACCTGGGCAGCTCCACTGGCTGCAGTTGCTAGTGTCTTGGCAGAAGTTCCGGGAGATCTGTAAGCTCATTTGGGAGGAAAAGGCACAAAGAAAGCACCAGAGGTCTCACAACAGTCTGTACCAATCTGCCCTTGCGGAATTTGTTGGGGTGACCACTCTGAGGATTGGCCAAAGCCCCTTTTCCAGCCACTGGCCCCAGAAGGGGAGACCTCAGGGCACAGGGACCACTCATGTGCAGAACAAGGAGGTCTCTCCTCCAAAGCCAAGGCAGGGGACTACTGCAGGAGCCTGCAAGGGACACAGAACTCTGTCCTCCCTTACCCAGTGGACAAGGGGAACATTCAGGCAGAGAACTGAGTGGATTCTCCACACACACTGAGTAAACCCCACACACTCTGCAGAGGCCAGGACCAGCACTGGCCCGGTGTAGCCGATGGATTACAACAGATAGGGGCCTTTGGCCATCTTCCTCTATCGCCTCAGATCAAAGAAGAGGATGGTGGTTTGGTCAGTACGAGGCATGCACACATCAGAAGGGCAGGGGGTACTCTAGTTTTAATGTGATTTGTCACCTTCAAAACTCACGGTGGAGTCTAATCCCAATCGGAAAGTGTCACAAGGGTAGAAACGTCCCCCAGCTGTAGGATTCATGGGCAATGCTTTGGGGAGGTGAAGAGAATTAGATATGACCATCAGAGTGACAGCCCCAGGACTGAACGCTGGTAGCTTTGTAAGAAGGAGAGGGACCAGAAGATTTAGACACTCACTCTCCTTATCTCTCACGGGTGATGCCTTCTGTCCCCCAGGGACTCGGCCAGCAGCAGAACCATCAAAGGAAGACCTTACGTCACAATGGTGAGCCACATAAGCCTCTGTTCTTTATAATTTAACAGTCTGTGCTATAGCATTATTAGCAACAGAAAACAGTCTAAGACAGAGAATGACGTCACTCCTCTGCCCTTGTCTTTCCGCTGCAGGTCCTTTTTCAGCCAGAGCTTCTCCTTCTAGGTCCAGGAACAGCTCCTCCCTGGCCCCACCAGCGTGGGGTGGTGACAGCTATGAGGTGATGCTATCGCCAGGGTCCTGTGTAACGTGTCATGGTTTCCCGGGACACCTGTATACCCACTCAATTATCCCCCTCCGAGGTCCTGGCCAGCTACCGTCCCACAGGAATGGGATACCTCCACAAACCAAGCACGTGAGGACTAACACTTCTATGAGTGTGTGAGAAATTACACCCAGCTTTGGAATGGGGAAAAGAGAAGTGAAAGAAAAATGTTTCTTCTATTCTAGGTCTATGCTTACCAGTTATCTCATTGTCTTTTGTGAAGCCTACACAGCAGTGCAAAGTACAATTGCTAATGTGTAAAATTAGAGATTATATTTTTTAAAAGGAAACTGCTTATCATCACACCGAGCTTGCAGTAACACTGCCTGTGCATGGCTTGGGAGAAGGACTCGATGGGAGGATCCGTGGGTCACATGCGGACCAGGTGTGTGTTTTCAGTCAAGTCTCCTTATCTCTCTGCACCTGATTTGTCACCCGAAGACTGACAGCAATAGCAAGGCTGTTGTGAAAATTACCTAAATTAAAATAAGCAAAGGTCTTACCACAACTGTCCACGGCACACAGTCAGCACCACGCCTCTGTTTTCCATTATTATTCTTCTGAAAGACTGAAGACACAGCCACCGGCTGGGCCTTGGATTCCTCTTCACAGTGTCAGAGGTCTTTCTGGCTGAGAAACATCCCCTGTTCATTCCTTTGCCTTTGAACAAACTTCAGAAAGACCTGGGAAACTGGTATAAAGGCAGACAGTCCACGGTCAAAGCTAGGCTGACAGCCGTATACATGCCTCTATGGACATTTTTATACACATATATGCACCAACACACGTGTGCATATAGTTGTGCAATTGCACACAGTCACACGTAGACTTACACACCGTCACCCACACAGTCTCACATACTGAACTAGGCCGACTTAGAGCCTGTTATCCCCATATTGTCCAGCAGAGGGCGCAGCCTCCACACTCAGGAGCAGAAGAGGCCTCCACAGCAGCCAGGGGCAGGACTCGGCCTGGTTGTTCTGCGAGAATCACATACGCAGATGTAGCAGCAGCGTCCTGGGGACCTGCAGACCCACCCTTCCCACCCTCTCCATCCACTCACCGTCACGGTCCTTCGAGGGATCTCAAAGCCTATTTGGAATAAGAAAGAAGACTTTAATATACCCCAAGTATAAATTCCCCTTTAGAAACTCTGTCCACATGGGCAAAGATTACATGAAAATGCAGGAGAAGGAAGAGGAAGAGGAGAGAGAGGAGGAAGAAGAAAAGGTGGAGTGGAACGAGGAGAAGAAGAAAGAACTGGATGGGTACGAGCAGCTATTAACAATGCTTATTTAACATGCTGGTAGTGGAGGTGATTTTTGTCTTGCTTTTGCTTGCTTACACTCCTATAACTATGTCTTGGCATAAAACACATCTCAACCTTCCACTGAGAGTATACCAAATGTTTTTCATCTCATTTTGCACTGTTCATTTCTCATTTCATAACCATATTCAGCACAGGTGACCAGTCTGTGGCCTCCCCAAGGCCCTCACCCTTGGACTCTGTGCTGCAGGAGGACTCTATGCTGTAAGTGGGCACTAATCTCCTTCATGACTGACCGTGACCTCCCCAAAGCCCCGCCTCTAAATGCCAGAATTCTGGGGACTGTGTTCCACTGCATAATCTTTGCAGAGACACAACACACCATGGCGTGGATCCAGTGTCATCTGACCTGACTTTTTCTATCTATCTGCTTCGTGTTCCTTACAGAGCAGTCCTTGTCCTCATGGTGAGAGATGGAGCCACCACATCAATACTGCAGTTGGCGGGGAGGAGGAAAGGGCAGGATAGGCAGGAAAAGTATCCTGAATTACCGTGTGTTACGGCTTGTACCTAGATGTCCCCCAAAGCTTCATGCAGTCATAGGTGGGGCTTTTTGGAGAGGGTTGGATCTGGGGTGTGTGCTGCTGGGATCAAGAATGTGATGCTGGGATTCATTCATGGTGCAATGCTAGGATTAAGGCTGCCCCACACTGCGTGTGAGTGCTACCTGCCCTAAGGGTGAGTAGCCTGAAGAAGATATAAGGGATAGGGCCAGGGATATAGCTCAGTGTCACAGGGCCTATCTGGCAAATGCAAGGTCCTGAGTTTGATCCCTGGTACCAAAAAAAGATTTAAGGAACAGAAAGAGAGTTGCCTCTTGTCACTTGTCACTTGCTGCTTGTTGCCTTGCTGCCTTCTGCCTGCCGTGAACTGTTTCTCCTCTCTGATGTCCTTCTGCTGTGCCACCCTGCCTTGGAGCCAGCTAACTATGGACTGAAACCTCTCCAAATCAACATTTCCTGCTTTAACTTGGGTGTCAGTTATTTTGTCTCGGCAACAAAAAAAGTAACTAAGATACTGTGTAATCTTTGATTTCTCTGCATGGAACAGGACAAGTCACATAAACAGTCTAGCTTCAAGAACAGCTTTTAAATATAGTCTGGATTCCAAAGTGTCATACACTGAGAAAAGCATTGGGATGATGGGGACTACTACAAAGGGCTCTGAGCAGGATTTAATATTAACCAACTGGATTTCCATGTTTACATGTGAATTGTCCGAAGCCTAGGCACCTTGTCTAAAGATGGGCAGCGGACTCATAGTAAATGAACCTCTGTGGATCACTGGTCATCCTGAGGTCTATATTGGCCTGTGAAGCTGTGACACCTCAAAGGACAAGATAAGGAGGCCACAGCTGAGGATGTTTGGCTCCAACCCCAATTAACTACAAGGAGACTGCAGCTGCAGGCTCCACACTCCTACAGTAAATACCAATGTAAAGATAAGGTAGTTCTCCTGATTGACATAATTTACTACTCGGGAAGATTCTCCCAAGGTCCTGCTAGATTCCTGTGTTTTCTTGAGTATCCTCCTCCTTTGTTTGTAAATCAAATAAATACAGGCTTCCCAGAGAACTCTTTGCCTAAACTCAGAGAATATCGAAGCTGTAAGAGAGTTAGACCCTCTTGGAGCCCTGAAATCATTTCCATTGTCTCATTTATTTAAGCCTTTGCTGTTCACTTGCTGGGGAGATTGCAGGCCTGATCAACCTGCAATAACTAAGGGCTATTTAACCTGATATTGGGGATTAGAAGAGATCACAAATAGGAGGGTACACAGTTATCAGTCACTGAGACAGTATATCCTGGGAGTTGCCAAAGTATTCACTGTACAGCCTCATTCATTAACAAGGAACAAACTCGCAGCACCTCAAAGGGAGTCACACCCAAAGTTTACCTGTCCCCTCTAGCTTGCTCAAAGTTCAGTATGTTTGAGTGCTGTGCAATCCTCCCCTCAAGTTCCTATGGGGCTATCATGGACTGGAATTCCATAAACTCAAAGATAATTATCAGTCCTAATATATCCAAGTATGGAGGAATTATTGTAGCAAGCCAGTTTAAAATCTCACTTAGTGAGTTGGGGATGGAGCTTATTGGCAAAGTGTTAGGGCTAGAGCACAGCCATGTCGGGTTTGAAGAGACAACGTGGACTGAGATGAACCTTAGCCAACCTGAGCAGCACTCCCTTCCCTCCTTCCTATGTGGCAGGACATTCCAGCCCATGAGAGGACACAATGAAAAGAGCTGACAGACCCCCACCCTGTCGTGCAAATTTCTGCTGAACTCACACATTACAAGCCAAATAAGGAAATGTTCTTGCCTCCCAGACCACCCGGAACCCTGACCCTATGAATCTGTAGTTATAGCCCCACTTGGGTCCACATTCCTGTCATCCGCTGCCTAATAAATCTTGTTTATCTCTCCTCGGCCTCTGTGGGTGAATCTTCATGCTCTGGTTTCTGATGCAACAGAAGCACTTGCCTGTCATGTGGGGAGCCCTGAGTTTGATACTTAGCACTGCAAAAGTAAATAAGCAAAGAAATGTGGCTTTGGAGGTCTCCGTTAATGGCAACGTAAGTTATGTGGATTAAATTTCCAGGTATTTTAAAACAATTCTCAAAGCTGGATGCTTTTCTCACTCCTTAAAAGATAAAAAGATAGGAAAAGACTGTTAAAAAAAAACTGTAATGAAGGCTGAAGCTATAGCTCAGTGGTAGAGCATTTACCTAACTTGCAGGGGGCCCTAGGATCCATGCTTATGCCACAAGCATTACAAAGACACTATCCAAAGGAAAATAGAAAGCTAGACATAAAGGAACATGAAGCATACTTTTGCTCCAAAGCCATTTCTAAAGTCAGGAAAATATGAAACTATTTTAATGGCCTCATGATGGCAGGATGGTTTAGATCTAGAAACCCCCCCAAAAGGCTCATGTGTTCACCTTTTAGAAGGTGATTGAACCATGGGGTCTTATGGCTGATGTAGAAGGTGGGGCCTGCCTGGAGGTGGGTGGCTGAGGGCGGGAACTGGAGGTGTATTCTTGTCCCTGACTCCTACCTTCTCTCTCTGTTTCCTGTTCCCCATGATGTGAGCAGCTTTTCCTCCACGAGGCCTCTCTACCTTCTGGTTTCTGACTTGGAGCCAGTCAACCATGGATGGAAACTGTGAGCCAAAATAAAGCTCTCCTCCTTCACACTGGGATGTAGGTATTGTGTCTCAGTGATGGGAAAGATGGGGGGAAGCTGGGCGCGGTGGCATGCACCTGTAATCCCAGCACTCAGGAGGCTGAGGCAGGAGGATCACTGCGAGTGTGAGGCCAGCCTGGGCTACAAGGTGAGCTCAAGGCCAGCCTGAACTGCATAGTGAGACCCTGTCTCAAAAAGACCAAAAGAGAGAGCAGGGAAATCAAACCTCAGGAGTGACACAAGAAAGGAAATTTACATAAAGACCTTCCTCTTTAAGGAACCCCCAACGCACTGCATGTCTCCAGCCACACAAAGGTGCCTGCAACTTTTATTTCAGACACAGGGTAACAGCACAGTTTATTCCTGGGACTCTGCAAAAGTAAATTGGGAGTCACTCATGTCCAAAACCAGGCTTCTGCGGTCCCTGTACACCGGGAACAGCAGCTCCATCCACAGCCAAAGCCTGCCCTTGGCACACAAGGTCAGTCCAGCTTTCTGCATGACTCAGTGTCCCCAGGAAGGATGTGGAAGCACATCAGAGTCAGTGCCAACGCCACCTTCACCTTGTTCATGGTGAAGGTCTCCCCAGTCCAGTTTCTGTGATCAGGGTGGAGACAATGACTATACCTGGAAACCATCCAGGTCCCATTGTACCAGCACCAGTCAGAGAATCTAACCACGCCATGGAGTCCTCTTGAATCTACCCAACCCTCTTTCCCCCAAACCTTTGCATAGGAATGGCAGGAAGCCTAGACAGAACTCTGACCATCTGTAATTTCCCCCCTTTTTCTTAATATCATACCCAGACAGCACCCCCATCAGACTCCTGCTGCCTTCACATAGGACACACCAAGAAGGGAATAAAAGCCAGTGGTGACCTGTCCTCGGTGTTTTGGGGTCAAAGCAGAAAAGGAAGGAAGACCAGGCAACAGTTCTGGATGGGGCCTACCACTATAGACAGGGAGACAGGTGTGGATGTGGCAGGGGCAGGTGATGTCTCATAGCAAGGTTAAAGCCTGCCCCTCTCTCTGGGACCCCTACAATGGATCAGTCTGAGTGAGCAGAGAGGGGAGGCAGCACCTCAGGCTCAGGTCACGTAAGTGGGCTGTGATGGGTCCTGAAAACACTGATAAAGCAGACGATGCCTGTGGGCGAGGAGGGGACCATCAGGACAGGATCCTGTTGTCCAACATGGCCCCGTCCCTGCACAGGGAACTCTTCCCTCTGATGAAATGAACCTCTGGGGACAACCTAGCCATCTGGAGCACAATGTCCTGGGTGCACCAGTGGGAGATGCTGGTGACTGCAGGGTGCAGACACAGACTGTCCTTGATGCACATGGTCAGGAAGGGCAGCTGGGCCAGGTCCTTTCTAAAGGAAGCCCCAACCCACCGTTATCCTGGGAGAAAAAACATGGTCCACCGAGTTCTCTGATGTCAAGCAAAGGCTTTTCTCCCCAATAATATAAGTCCCAGATGGGTCCAATGAGTGAGAATTAGAAAAATGTCCTAGGGATATCATGACCTGTAACTGTCCTCCCTCCAAGGTGGGAGCTCCTGGATGACAGATCCCTCAGCTGAGTCCTTCCCAGGTCTCTATAGCACAGAATGGGGCTGGGCATAAAAGGAGGGGTACAAAAGCACTTTGGGAGTGTTTGCAGAAAGAAAGCTAGAAGGATGAAAAATCCAGATATTCTCACAAACCACTTGATTACACTTACAACCTGAGGTCCCCTGCGAATCCATGGACTTCTCCAAAGGGTAAGAATTAAGGTGCAAGAGAAAAGCAAGCATTCAGGGAGGGATGATTTTTTTAAAAAATGATATTTGAGAAAAAAGATGAGGAGAGGAGGAGGAATCCATTGTTAAACATATGCAAAAAGCACCATCTACCCTTACATTGTCATAAATGTTCTTACTAAACCAGATATTTCTGTTCAAAAAGCCAACAACTTTTCCATTGCTAGACTTGCTCAGAACCAAGGCCTCCTTCTGGACTCAGCTCATATTCCCACTCAGCATTAATGGAAACATCAGAAAGCGCATCATCTGCCTTCCCCACCTGAGAAGCAGGGCCAATGAGAGGGGCTTAGAAAGAGGCCATGAAAACCTGTGCTCACCATTCAATCTCTTCAGGCTCACGGTCCCTCAGGAGCTCTCGCGCCTCCTGCCAGCACCACTCCCAATATTCCGGATGCCTCACCAGTTGTACAAAACCCAGGAAAGACCACTGGACATGGCGTCATGGCCTGAGGAACAGCCAGGCAGGCATTTTTACTGGGAGGAGAGGAGCGTTCCAAGGTGATTAACGGTCCATCAGGATCCCAAAGCGCTTTAGGTGGCTGAGGTGTGGCTGGATGCCTG